GCCCCCCCCCCAGCCCCATCTGAGCATCCCGCCCGGCTCCATCCGAGCATCCCACCCAGCTCCATCCGAGCATCCCGCCCGGCTCCATCCGAGCATCCCGCCTGGCTCCATCCGAGCATCCCACCCGGCTCCATCCGAGCATCCCGCCCAGCTCTGCAGCCGTGCCCGGCTCTGTGACGTGATCTCCAAAACTGTCAGCGTGGGATTCGTGCGCTCAGCTTCCCCGGGACGGCGGGCAGCCACGCTGCCGGAGCCACAGGGAGGTTTCCTGGGCCTGGCCGAGGCGGAGCGGGGTCTCCGGCACAGGCTTTTGCTCTGCTGCTCCTGATTTATGCATTGGATTGAATTGGCGCTGGCAAAGCAAAATGGTTTAAGCGGGTGGTTCCGGAATGGCAATCCCCATGTGGCTGGGGGGCTGGGAGGCTGGTGCAAATCATCACGTTAGGCTGAAAAAGAGGAGTGTCTTCAGTCCCAGTGCTGGTACTGGGGGCACTGGAGACGCTCCGAGGTCTGGCAGCGAGCCACTGCTCTGAAACGCTTGTGACAAGGTTTGGGCCACTTTTTAAAGTTCTTCTTTCTCCTCTGGTCCAAGTCCTTTTTGGCTGCTTGGTATCTTGCAGTTGGGCTTCTCCAGGCCTCCACAGCGCTCCAGGGAAACCAGGGCAGGCAAGGCAATGTATAATGTGAAGATGTCAGCAAAAAGCCAACTAATCCTAAGTATTTCCTCAATCGTAGAAGACACCTACTTTTAAAAAGCAAATCTAAAAGCCAACAAAAGTCCATCTTCCTTTCATTGCCTGTCACCTTCCGTCAAGGGAGGCTGCTATGGGACGGGGATGTGACGGCGGAGGTCGCAGCAGTCGGTGCAGCGTGTCCTCTGGGGTCAGGATGGGGTACTTCGTGCAGGGATCAGCAGTCGCTGTGGGCTGCATCTCGGTGTTAACAATTAGAGTGGGAGTGTAGGGTAATGTCATGTATCTGACTCCTGCAGACAATGCTTTGATAAGCCCTGACGTACCAAATCAGCCCTATAAAAATCTACAGAACAGAAAATGTTTCATGTCTCCATAAACATTCAGCCATATGCTGGTACCTAAATCCATATGCATACACAGCTGATGTGCTGCGGGGGGGGTGGAGAGGCCAGGAACGGCCTGAGACAAAGAAAGCGGGAGGCTCCTGCTTGCCGTCTCACTGCTGATCCCCTGGCACCAGTCTGCCCCTGCCACCAAGCCCCACACCGGGCACGAGTGGATGGGCTGAGCTGGGACCTCACCCAGCCCCCTCTGACCACGGCTGGATAGTTGGGGACCGCACCGCTTGCGTTCATCCTTCCTCCAAGTTAAAGAAAAAGGCGATTTTCCCCTCTGTCCCGCCTCCAACCAGAGCAGCGGTTGGAGAGGAAGGCTGGCTTCTGCATGCGTGGTGGTGGGCTGGTGGCAGCCGTGGGGTCGGATCCAGCCCACTGCCCCATGCCCTTGTGCTCGAGCGCCCTTCGCCGCATCGCTGCCCCAAGGCGGACAAGTTGTGCCCGCCGCGTTCGAGCCTCTCGCGTTCCTTCTCTCCCTCAGCAGCCTCGCAGCATCCCTTCTCTCTGTCCCTGTCCTCCGTCCCTGCTGCCCTCCTCCCTCTGCTCAGCCTCCATCTGTCTGTCTGTCTGTCTCCCTCCAGGATCCCATCCCTCTGCAAAAGGCCAGGCCATCTCCCCTCTTTCCCGGAGATGGCCACCAGCCCTTTGCTTTCCAGCCTGCAAGAACAGAGCCAGAATTCATCCTTGAGCGCTGAAACTGGACACCATTTTATCAGTGGCCTGGAATGGGAAATTGGAGCCTGGGATGAGAGAATTGAATAACTCGAGCTTGTTTTCATTTCATGTTTAATTTCCTGCAGGCTTAGCTCAGTCTTTCCGCTCCTTCCACCAGCCTCCCAGGGTTTTATGGGGGAAAAGGGATCAAGATATATTACTTCTTGCTTTGCTTTGCTTTTTTTCTTTTCTTTTTTTTTCCAAGGCGGTGATTTTGCTACAGCAGAGTTTGACATTTCCCTCTCACTTTCAAGCCCCCGCCGCATCACAGGGTCACCGCCAAAAACATTTCATTAACGGTCCCAGCGATCATAAGGCTGGCTCTGAGGGGTGGCTGGCTGAGGGGTTATATTCCCTGGCTGCAAAACCTCCTTTCAGCCCCATCTCTTTCTCCTCTGTCACAGGGCAGGCCAGGAGGCAGAGATACTCACAGCCCAAGAGAGATGAGCAGCCGGGGCCAGGCTGGCGTGGGCTTGGGATGTAAACGTGTGTGCATGCAAGGGGAAGGAGCCATATGTGAATACACACGTACGTCTACCGTGTTTCTCTAGTGCCACCGTGTCAGGCATCTGCTGCAGCCCTGGATGGGCTGGAAGAAGCTCAGGCGGTTGCTGGTACCGAGCAGGAGCTTTTCCCGGGGCTCTGCAGCCCCAGACATGGAAGAGAAGGAGAAAGGAATAGGATAGGCACGCTGCACGGGACCTACATGAAAACAGCACCCGCCGCACACCTTAGCAGGTTTTTTTTTTCTGAGCCCTAGCAGCCTCTCCCTGGCAGGGTGGCTCTGCCTCTGCGCAGGGCTTACGCACGTCTCCCGCTTCGGAAAACAGGGACGTGCGGTGGCTTAATAGTACTTGCCAACGAGGGGCTGGGTTGTGGGGGGCGGGCAGGGAAATCGTCGCATTGCATCGCAGGGGGAATTAGCTCTGACGTTGTCGGACACCAGCATTGATGGCTGGAAACCAAGGCGGGCAGAGAAACAGAGCAGGAGAGGGGCCAGGCTGCGGGATGCCACCGCTCCACAGACAGCACGGCCGGCCCCATGCCCGCTGCTGGCGTGAGCTCTTCTCCAAGCACTGAGATCTCCGGCAGCTATTTTCACTAATGAAGCGTGAGCTTGGGAAAAGGATGGGAAAAAAACAGAGCTGCCACTTGCCTGTCTGGGCTCCGCATCTGCTCCAGCCTGCAGCGTGGCGGCTGGTTGCGCTCCCCAAGGAGCCGAGCCTGGCCAGGAGGAACGACCTCCAGCCAAAAGCTGGCTCAGCCGTGGGAGGGAGCATCACACCTCAAAACTGCTGGGCACCTTGCCTTCCTGCTGCTCTGCTTGGCTTAGTTCAGACCTCGCGGGCAGCTGAAGCCGGCCTCTGTGAAATTATCCCAGGACACTCGCCATCCCTTAGAGGACCATACCTTCCTTGGAGAGAGGGACTGTGGATCTCCCTTCAAAGTCCATGCAGCCCCACAGCACCCCGAGCCCCTGTCAGCTTGGCGGAGGGCATAGAATCATAGAACCGTTTAGGTTGGAAAAGACCTTTAAGATCATCGAGTCCAACCATCAACCCAACACCACCATACCCACTAAACCATCTGAGTACATAGTGGCTATTCGGCTTGCAGAAGGAAAGAAGGGGTTTGCGGCTTGTGATTTCCACCCTCTGCCTTGGCCCTGGTTGGGCTTTTGGTCCTTGCAGTAGGCATTTGCTTCGCCGTCGGTCTCCAGGGCCACTGCCCCGTGCCCGAGCCGATGGCCCTCGGTGCTGCAGTGCTGGCGTGGGGAGGCATCCACAGACCAGAGCTGCCCAGAGGGGTGGGAGGCCAAAGCCGAGCCTAAACAAGCTCTAACACAACCCAGAGCTGGAGACAGGTGCTAGGGCGATTCACTAAGGCTCCCGGCCCCGAAAGCCTCCCTCGTGGGAAGCGCAGCCCCGTGCCACCCCAGGCAGCATCCCCGTGCCCTCGTGGTGGCTGCCGCTGCCATGCCGAGACTAAGCAGCTCGTTAGAGCCGGCAGCCCCGGCCCCCTGAGAACCCCCGTGAAATAGCCGGCACCGAGGGTGCCCCCAGCCAGCACCCACAACACGCGGCACGAGCTTGCTGGTTCTCGCCGAAGGGAATCTGCATTTCTACCGACGGCACGGCAGCCCTTCGTCACAAGGCGGTGGCTGGGTGCCAGCCCGCAGCCTGAGGGACGCGGTCCTTTCCTGGTGGGGCTGGGGCAATAAGTGAAATGCGAGTCGCTTACCCCTTTCACCCCACCCAGGGGTAAGTGCTCGAGCAGCCAGGCCACTTAGACAAGTCCTTCAGCTGCTCCATTACATGAGCCCTGGCATCGCCAGCCCAAGCGAGAGGTGCGTGCCGGCAGTCTCAAGAGGAGAGAGAAGCTGGTCTCGGCTGCCCGTGCCTTATCTCAGGGCAGGGTGAACCCTCCACAGTTGCACCCTCCCTCTGCCACTTTTCCTCCTGGCTGCCTGGGGAGGTACTTCTCCCCTTGGCCGCGGTGTTCTCCGGTGGTAAAGTGGGGGGGAAAAAAAAAAAACCAAACCCTGAGATCGTGGGTCATATGTAATGAACTTGTGGACTGCATCTGCCTCGCCTGCCCTGGTTCTGCTAGCCCGGCTCTGCGCGCTAGCTGGGATGCGCTAGCCGCACACCCTGGCTCTGGGGCGAGCCGGAGGAGCTCGCCACCCTCCAGCACCTCATTCTCATTCCTGAGCGAAAGGAATTTCATGCACTGTGCAGTTGGTAACCTGATGCTATGCCTGGCCTCCCGGGAGACCCCATCAGCACTTGTGATGTGTCCCTGGGAAATCAAGGGCTGCGTGTCCAGTGGCAGAAGTAAAGAGCTGGCGTTTGTAGCGCCGGCTTCCCCTGCCCATCCCGCAGCGCTCTACGTGCGGGACTGACGGGAATGGCACTGCTTTCTTGCTGAAATGCAGCCGTGTCAAGCCTGAAGAGAAACAGCTGTGGGGAAGAAGAGCACACCAGCCCTGCAAACCAATTTAGGCAAGCGGACAAGCAAAATCCTGCAGCTAGTTGAAACTGGAAGGAAATGTCCAGACTAAAATGGACTTAATGCAAGGACGCTGGCCTGACTGCTTTGACTGTTCACAACAACTACTCGTAAAGGTTAGAGCAGAGGGCAAGCCGGCCTGCCTGGGACCTGGGAGTCTTCCTGGTATAAGAGATACAACCAGATGTCTCCACGGGCCAGCTATTCTTGATGCTAATGCAGGTTCTGGGGGCGGTGAGCTGATAAATGCCTGCAGATGGAAGTCACGGGATTAGCTAGACTGGAGAATGGGAGCCTAAGCTTCAGCTGGACCTTTGATGGCCATCGAGGCGTGAACTGCGGATGGGCGCTCCAAGCGATGGTGCTCCTTTTTTGCACATGCTTCTGAGCTCTACCAGGTCTTCGGTTTAACCTTGACTCGGAGGAAAGACCAGCACTCGGAGAATCACTCACTCCGTCAGTGTGGGGTTTGGCTCTGCCGGACCCCCCAGTTAGTTCGGGGGAGCTGGTTCACGGGAGCTGGCACCGGTGTGGGTGGAGGTGGTTGAGACCTGAGTGCGGCTGTTTGATTCTCCTGCTCCTCTCAAGGCGGTGGGAGCACCTTTTTGCCCTGGATCACCAGGCTTTGTGCAGTCTCAGCACCTACTTAGCCAAGCAGGCAACAAGAGCTGCCTCTCCTTTATCACCTCTGGTACCAAAAGTCCTGGTCACCTCTGCATCCCCATCTTGCCAGAAAGAGCCTAGACTGTGGGAAAGCTTGCTCCCCCTCCGACTTATGAACCTATATGTCCCCTCCTGAGTCTCCTGAAGAAAGTAGCTTTCGTAAAATAGCTTTGTTGAGGGTGACGGTGAGGCTTACCGTCCCATTAGCTCAAGGACAAGGGGCATCTCTGTGAATGCTGGAGCTCGGGACACCAGCCCAAATAAAGGAGCTGCCACTAGTGCCAGACATGGACGTACCTCCCCGTCCTGTCCCTGTCGGAGAGGTGTCCCAGCCTGCGGCACGAGCTCTGGGTAAGGCTCGGCTGCCTGCAGGCTGCGGTGGGGCTGCAGGGGACCTCAGGCGCAGCAAGGGACAAGAAATTTGCAGGGCTCGCGGTTTCATTCCCCAGCGAGCACGGGCTTGTTTGCAAGCTCGCCAACCTCTCGCCCAGCCCCAGGCCGTCCCCCCCATTACCTGTACACGAGCCTCGGTGAGGTCTGTCCTCATGGCTAGCTGCTCCCTGGCATAGACGTCTGGGTAGTGGGTCTTCTGGAAGACCTTCTCCAGCTCCTCCAGCTGGTAACTGGTGAAGGTGGTGCGGTTCCTCCGCTTTTTGCCCTTGTTGCTCTCCGAGTCGGCCTTGTCCATGGGGCTGGGGAGGTCCGTGCTGGCCCTGTCCTGGGGCACTTTCACCCCGGCCTCCTTCACGCTGAGGTAGCTGCTGTCCATTCCCGAAGGGTCGGAGCTCGGCTGCAAGTCGGCCTCTCCCAAATTGCTCTCCTTACCTATTTGGGTGGGAGGGGAGAGGAGGGCAGGTTTGAGCAGGGTGGGGAGGGGGGGAGGAAGAGAAGAAAACAGATGTAAATCTTTCGACCGATTTATTGGTTCAACCAATTAAAGCTAGCCATGGCAGCTGGGCAGCGGTCGCCGGACGCAGGCGGGGAGGCTGACATGACCCAAGGCAGAGGCAGAGGAGGGAGGAGAAGAAGCAGAGGGCTGCCCTGGGTGCAGGAAAGCTGCCGGCCTCGGCCTCGGAGGGTGCTGGAGCTCAGCTCGGGGGTGGCACGGGTGCCTGGCCGGGCTGTATTCGAGGCAGAAGGTGGCTGTTATGGCCGGGGAGCTGATGGCAGCCCGTGGACACCAGCACAGCCAGGGAAGGGGAGGTTGGGGTGAGCTCTGCCAGTTCCTCTGGGTCCACCTCGGGGAGTCGGGTGGAAGGACGAGCCCGGCATTTTCACCTGCGCGCACCCCGGCAAGGCTCTTCCTCCCCCTCCCAACGCTCACGGTGGAACTGAACCCCACGGAGCACCGCATTCCGTGGTCCTGGCCACAGGAGAGGTCTCTGAGGACGGGGGGACCCAAACCCAGGCCTCAGCGGATGGTCCCCGGTCACCAGCCCATCCATGCTCCCCTCCTGAATAACACAGGGTAGAAAACCAGGGACACGCGGCGCTCGGTGGGATCTGTTTTCCGCTCGTGTGTCGGCAGTGGTGTTACCGGCTGACACCCCCCCCCACGGCCTCCTGCGAAGACTCAGGCTGCTTTCGGCAAAGAGGCTGCGAATGGCGCTCAGCGCCGTGGAAAAGGGTGCTGTGAGACGCCTGCCGGTGTGTGGGGCAGGGAGAAACGAGAGGAGTCTGCCAGCAGCCTGCGAGGCTGTTCCTGCCTGACTGCCCTGAGCAATTAATAATTAACGGGCCATGACACACAAGAGCAGTACGGTGAAGCAGGAGGTGGACGTTTCAACCGCTGCAGGTAAAGGTGAAAACCACCTTTGAGCTTCTGTAATGGGGCAGATGTATCTTCAGGCAAAGGCGCTGCGATGGGGCGTCCTCTCCTGCCCACCGTGACAGCAGTGTCCCCTTCATTAGGAGAGCGCTGCAGGACCCTGCTGGGGACCCATGGCAAGTGGCCACGGCTCTCCCTTGCCTGCTGCCGCTGTTCTGCGCAGTGGGCTGTCCCCAGACCAGAAAAAAAAAGGGATTTGGGTGAGCGACTGGCCCACCCGGCATATACTACGTGTCACACCTGCCCACATTTCTGGCTGGGATCTTTGGGCAAAAAAACCATGGTAGCCCTACTCCTGGGTTTAACCTTGAGCCACTACGCTCAGCTCCTAAAGATCTGGGAAGGAAAGGCTGCACTGGTACTTCGTCTCCGTGCTCTCCTTACCAAGCCAAGATCATGCCAACTGGCTGATCTTTTTTTTTTTTTTTAATAAATTTCACATTAGCTTGTTTTTAAATGTTCTCAGTCCAGGATCAGTCTTGCTGGGAAACAGCTCCACCACCTAGTGATGTCCCCACTGAGAGCTTTACCCCAGCAGTGTCATATCCAGGGTCATTAATGCCAGCTCAGGCATCTTAGCCCAAAAATGGAAATCCCCATTTTTTTCCAGCACTCGTCCCTCGTTACAACATCCTTCTACCTAATTCACTCTATATTTACAGCTTAGCCCTTCTGCGAACGGCTCTGTCACGGCTTCACAGCCAAAAACCCAGGCGCGGGCTTGTGAGAAGGTGTACGTTTCCTTGCCCTTTTGTCACTCTTGCAGCTGAAAGACTGCATTGAGATGATTGGGATGAAAACAGGAGGATGTCACCCGTGGGCATGAGGGCAAGGAAGGCCCAGGTTTAAGCTTGGGAGGATGAGCTAGGAAAGAGATTTGAGAAAAAAGTTGCCCAGTTAGTACAGAGGAGTCAAAGGCAGACCTGGGGCCATCTGCCGCTACCACCCTACCGTATTTTCACATTTTTTGCTTTCTCTAATACTGTTCCCTCAGGCTTTTGAGGAACTCCCTGTAAAGCTCAGCAAAGCCTGATGTTGCCTATCTATCTCAACTCTCTTTGCTTTGATCCTTAGGAACATTTTGCCAAAATTTATGCTCCCTGGGCGCCGGGACCGGTGTCCAGGCCAGTGACTGTCACCTGCCTCCTCTCTGCACCAGCACTCCAACCGGCTGACCTTCGCCACCGCTCCTGGGGATGCGGGTGGACAGACCCATCCAAAATGGGCTGGGACAGTGCCCTGCTCCACGACCTGGGTAAATCATATGCTACACCATGATATTTATTCTTTTCAAAACTTATGATAACAGAACAGTTCCGGAAAGTCTGCAGCAATGGCCTACCGCCTGTGAGAGTCAGTAGAGATGGGGTAATAAATAAAGTATTCCAGGAAATTTTTTCCTCCTTTCTTTCTTCTTTTATTATTTATGATGTCAGGAAGGTCAGTACCTTTTCCCCCGTGCCTTTGTGCTGGCTGCCTCCCTAACTCCCAGGCTGCCGGCATCTCAAACGCAAGACCTGAGACCTTTCCTCGAGAACTCCTCTGCCATTTCTTATCTGCTCGAGCAGCTCAGCTGGCGAAGGGTCTGCACACACACCCGGCGGGGGTCCCCGTGCCTGCCTGCCGCCAGCCCAGAGCCCTCCTTGCCAGCTCAGCCACGCACAGAGTCGGCACAGGCTCCTCGATCTCCAGCCGCTGCGGGCACCGGCAGGGATGAGCCGTCTCCGTGGATGGAGGGCAGGAGGCAGGGAGCACGGATGGCGGCGTAGGGAAAGGATGGCGTGCATCCACCCTCGGCAGAGCATCCCAAAAAGCAACTCTCACTCCCTAGAAACAGGCTCCCTGACCTCAAAACAGTCATGCTAACTGCTGAAGTGAAACAAATTGCATACATCTGCATATGGATATGCCCAGACTTCCTGTAACTGGAGATGGCCTCAAAGTTTCAGTGCAAAGTTTGGGGTGTCTGTTTCTAATCAAACCTAGAGAGACCTCGAGTTACATATTGTGAAGATCTCCCTGACAAGGAGGTAATGTGAGCATCTTTGCGCCCTTACAAGTCTGACAGGACAGCTTGGTGCCTCCTTCGCTGCTTGCAACTCCGTCTCTGCTCTCGTAGCAGTGGAAGGAAGATATTTGCTGGCTTCCCACACTTGTACCCTGCTTTCCCAGTGCCTCAGCACTTCTGAGACCTTCCCTGAGTCACCCTGTGTCCATTGCCGACCAGCGGGGACAGCCCAGGACAGCTGGGCACGTTGTCCCCAAGCATCACGCTGGTCCTCTTCGGGCAGGAGAGCTGCCTGCATGCCCGGTTCACCTGGAGGGGATATGCCTTTCCGATCTCACCGCGTCTGTCCTGGGAACCCCACAGAGGAGGAAGGGGTTGCAGGAGACATGGACTGTGCTGCACATTTGGGCCCAACTTTAAATGATAGGTCTCCTTTGCACAGTACGTGAATGACGAGCTGCAGCTCCTTCGTGATAGACTCCTTCCTTCGTGATAGACTCCTTCCTTCGTGATAGACTCCTTCACGTAGATTCTGTGATTGCAGCCCCACAGCCTCCGAGGCTGCAAGACAGCATAAACCCAGGGACGCAGCCAGCACAGGGCTGTTTAGCCCAGGCTCCAGGCAAAGAAGCCTGCAGGAGCTTGGCATTGCTACTCTGCTGCTCTGGCAGCAGTTCATCCAAGCTGTTACGGTGTCAGCGAGGAGCCCCAAACCACCCCAGCCCCGGGGGGGGGGTCTCAGCATAGCCTGGGACACCTGAACACGTGGCGTGGGCGGTGTGTGGCTGCACCAGGCTGCCTCTCTGCTCCCACGCTAAATGATGTAGGAGCCTTCTGCCTTTCTGCCCAGGTGCGGGCACAGGGGTTTTCTCCCCTGCCCGTCCCCAGATCCCTACGGCTTCCTATGCTGGCCATTTCATACTGCCTCTCCTTGCCTGCACAGCCATGGTCTGACTCTTACTTTTCATAGCAATGATGCTTCTTTAAAAAAAAAAAAAACAAAAAACCCAAACCTCTAGAGCAGATGTTCAAGAAGACTTTTTAAATCCAGTTCTGGCTCTTAATATCATTCTCTCAACTCTTGCTTAAATACCAGTGCTAAAATTTTGCCTAGATAGGGTTGGGCAGTGTATTCTACACTTCTTACCAAGGAAGATTTGCACGGCAGCCCAGCCAGCACACCTCCAGGACTTGGCTGGCCATAGTAACCTTATCCAGCAATCTTGCCTTAACACATGCTGAAGCCATTATACTTGTTCCCAAGTTGTCTGTTGCAGCCTTCTGCCTCCTGTCTGTCATTGCATTCTAGAAGTCAGCACAAGGCTATCATTTAAAAAAAAAATCCACATTTTGGGTTATATAGGATAAAATGGAGCGGCTGGATTTTAGACATGTAAAGGTCCAAATCTGTAGGTTTATTTCTGTTCAGGGAGTCAGCATTCTTGCAGTCTGCAGATGTAGAGATGGCGAGAAGACCCACAATTTTTTAGCTGAATGTGGCATGACTGATTTTATTAGCGATGATCAGATACTTAATCATACCTTCACTCTTGGGCCAAACTGAAGTGTAAAACTGGGCAGCATTCATCGCTTAAATGCAGGTGGTAGAAGTCTACATAAGACACAAGCCATTGGCGTCGTGCTGGAAGCCGCAGTTACCCTTGCTGCTAAGCCAAAACTGGTTGGAGCATCTCCATTTCAACTCTGGATAAGGATGAACACATTGCCTTGTGTCTAGCCTACCAGCAGTTCCCTTGAGTTTGCATAAAGCAGAGCTGGTTCCTGTATGAAAGCACGTCCGTCCATCTATCCCAGCCAGGGACCTCATTTCGTTGATCCTGCAGAAACTGAAGAAAGGCTGGAACATGCTCCGGGCAGCTCCTCTGCTCACGGTATGGCATGCACCGACTTTCCGTTGTGCTGAGACCACTGCTTGAATGTGCTCGTCTGCGTGGACACCATCCATCCCTGCCGAGCCCGACCAAAGCT